TAACCCCTCCAATTTTCTTGGAATTGAACGTAAAATTGTATAAGCAAACAAAAAATATCATTCAGGTTGAATATGAGTTGGAGTAACTATTGGATTAGAAAGAATAAAATTTTCTACATCCATAAATATATAAGGTAATTCAAAACAAATAAATATATAAAATATAAATACTATCATTAATCCATATACATCCTTAATTCTAAAATAAGGATGAAAAACAACCTTATCCGAATTTCTTCTTAACCCAATTGGATTTCCTGAACCTACTTCATGAAGAAACAATAAATGAAGAATTACAATAAATAAAATTACAAAAGGTAAAATAAAATGAAAAGCAAAAAATCGAGTTAAAGTAGGATTTCCTACTGCAAATCCTCCTCAAACCCATTCAACTAATAATACCCCTACATAAGGAACCGCAGACAATAAATTTGTAATCACTGTAGCAGCTCAAAATGACATTTGTCCTCAAGGTAATACATATCCTAAAAAAGCAGTAGCTATTGAAAGCAATAAAATTGTTACTCCTCTTAACCAAACTTTTCTAAACCGATAAGACCCATAATATAATCCTCGACCAATATGAATATACATAAATATAAAAAATAATCTAGCTCCATTAGCATGGACTACACGTATTATTCATCCATAATTTACATCTCGAATCATATGAATAATTCTATAAAATGATAAATTTAAATCCCCAGTAAAATGTAATGATAAAAAAAGTCCTCTAACAATTTGTCTAAATAAAAAAATTCCTAATAATGAACCAAAATTCCAAAAATATCTAATTCTTGAAGGTGAAGGCAAATCAATTAAAGAGCCATTAATTACACCTATCAACTTGTCTTCTTTTCGTAAAGTTAATAGAATCTTCTCATTATTTAATCTATCAAATTAACCCTTTACTCAGGCATATAATTAAAATCCACGAACCGCTATCCCTATTATTCCACTTACCCAAACAACTAACACTATTATAGCTAATAATATTCTTACTAAAAATAAATTAAATATATACATTACCCTCTTATATAATTTCAATCTTATTTCATCTCCAATAACTAAAAATTCTTCCCAATCTCAATTACCTTTATATAAATATATATAAATAACTACAGATAACAAAATTATTCCTATATATTCAAATCTTTCATTAGGTCTTAATCTAGCTATATAAGTAAACAACACTATCACAGAAGTTAATATTACTAACAAAAAAAGCATATCTATATCAATATGATCCTATAACATTATAAACCATTATCGAATAAAATAAAGTTATTAAAATTATTCTTATAACTATTACTATCGGTTGAGAAGAACAAATAAATAATATAAAATAAAATTAATAATATTATCAAAAGTTAACTTAATAATTTATTCAAAATATCTACTTTGGATGTAGAAAAATTCTATAATTATTTTTATCAAAATTATTATAATTATAAGAATTTTCAGAATATGTTGATGACGAAAAATTATTATTATAATACTTATAAGTTTAGAAATTATAATTATCTCTTTATTTTCATTATTATCTTACCAAAATTACTCTACTTCTTCCTTATCTCTCTTTATTATACTTTCATTAATAGTTGGAACCTCTTCCTTAAGCCTGAGACTCCTTGTTAGAATTTCACGATCACACAAATCTTCTCTAACTACCCCAATTTGAATCCTAACCTTTGATAAAAACAATCTTGCCCCTACTTTTACTTCCCTTTTTTCTTAATAATTTTATCTTATCTATTTCAATTTCTTCCTTTATTATTATACTTTTAATTACTAAAACTTTAGAAAACAAAGATTATATTTCATTAAACAACCTTTTCAATATAGATTTATTATCATTTAGAATAATTCTTTTATCTTTATTTAGATGTTTTCTCATTTTTATCTCAACATCAAACTTCTGATTAATTTCTCCTACAATTTCATCAATTCTTTTAATTTTAATTTTCACCTTCTCTTTATCAAACATATTTTCATTTTACATTATATTTGAAACTGTTTTAATTCCAACTTTCTTCCTTATCACTATAAATGGAAAACAACCAGAACGCCTTCAAGCAGGAATTTATTTGATCATTTATACTATTACTGCTTCATTACCTTTAATACTCGGAATCCTTTATTATAAAAAATATTCCGAAATCCTCTTTTCAATCACATTAAACTTTAAATTTAATCTAGCAATAATTTTCATTTTAGCTTTTATAGTTAAACTTCCTATATTCTTTCTTCACCTCTGACTCCCCAAAGCTCATGTTGAAGCTCCCTTAGAAGGCTCAATAATTTTAGCCGCCGTACTTTTAAAACTAGGAGGATATGGCTTAATTCGTTTCATTCCATTTATCTTACAAAAATTATCAATATTTAGAACATGATTTATTAGAATTAGTTTAATTGGGGCAACTGCTACAAGAATAAATTGTACTCGTCAAAAAGACATAAAATCTTTAATCGCTTATTCATCAGTGGCTCATATAGGTTTAGTATTAGCCAGTCTAATAACATTTAATTACATTGGGTTAACCGGAGCAATTATTATAATAATTGCCCATGGAATTTCTTCCTCAGCCTTATTTTTCCTTGTAAATTCAATTTATTCAAAATACCATTCACGAAACATCATATCCTTTAAAGGATTAATTTCAATTTTCCCTAATCTAACCTTATGATGATTTTTATTCTTAGCCATTAACATTTCCGCTCCTCCTACCATTAATACTATAAGAGAAATTTTTATTATCTCTAGCCTCTTAAATTCATCCTACTTAACGCTAATTCTTATATTTTTTGTATCAATCATAACAACATTATTTTCAATTAATATATTCATCAATATCTCCCACAATAAAACCGAAATAAAATTTTCAGAAGAATCATACTCAAAATCTTTTCTAAGTTTATTTATTCACATCACCCCCTTAATTTTAATTCTTTCTAAAATAGAAATTATAAACCTTTAATATTAATAGTTTACTTATAAAACACTGGTTTGTGGAACCAAAAAAATCTAATTGTATTCCTTTTACATCCATTATACTTAAATTTATTACATTATTTTTCCTCCCACTTTCCCTATATATATTAATTAATTCTACATTTATTTCACTAAGACTTCCTATTTTTTCACTACCCCCCTTCTTTATTCCTATTAATCTTTTATTTGATTGAATATCTTGCCTATTTTTAGCTACTGTAAGCTTAATTTCTAGTCTTATCCTTACATTTAGATCATCATACATTCCTAATAAAGAATTTACCCGATTCTCTTTTCTTCTCCTTTTATTTATATTTTCAATAATATTAGTAATTTCAAGTGACAACTTAATTTTTATCCTCCTAGGATGAGATGGTTTAGGATTTTCATCTTACATTTTAGTAATTTATTACCAAAACTATTCCACTGCTGCTTCAGGTTCAATTACTATCTTATCCAATCGAATTGGAGATATCATAATCATTATATCATTAGGATTAATATTATCATTCTTAGATTGAAACTTTTCAATTAATAATGAATTTTCATTATTAATCTTAACACTTTTAATTATTGCAGCTTGCTCAAAAAGAGCTCAATTTCCTTTCTCAGCATGACTTCCTGAAGCAATAGCAGCACCTACACCTATTTCAGCCTTAGTACATTCTTCAACATTAGTTACTGCTGGAATTTACCTTCTCATCCGAATTATAAATAATTTTCATCCTTTATCCACATTAATCATTATATCTATTTCCACTATTACTATTATAATCGCTGGCTTTTCAGCTAACTGAGAACAAGATATAAAAAAAATTATTGCTTTATCCACCCTTAGCCAAATCGCTATAATACTTTTCGCTATCTCTATGTTTTCTATTAATATTGCATATTTCCATTTAATTTCTCATGCTTTATTTAAATCTACAATATTTCTCTGTGCAGGAATTATTATTCACTCATCTTCATATCAAGATATACGTCACATAGGAAGAATTATATTTAATATCCCTTTAATATCCTCCATCCTAGGAATTTCTAATCTCACTTTAATAGGTATTCCTTTTACCTCTGGATTCTTCTCAAAAGACGCTATTATTGAAAATATATTATCTTCAAAATTTTCCTCTTTCCTATCAATTTTAATAATTATATCAATCGGATTAACAGCTAGTTATTCTATCCGAATATGTTTATTTTCTTTAAAAATTAATCTAAAATCTAAACCTGATTTATCACTACATTCTAATAATTATATAGATATCCCCATTTTAATTATAATTCTAACCTCAATTTTTACAGGAACATCATTATATTGACTAATTTGTCCTAACCAAATTTTTTTAATACCTTTTTCTCTAAAAATCTCCACAATTACAAATTTATTTATTGGAATTATAATTGGAACTTCACTATCATTTTACAACAAAAAATATATTAAAATAGGTACTCCCTCTATTTCATTATGATTTACACATACTATTTCTACTAAGCTAAACAAACCCCTTTTACCAATAATAAATATATTTATAAATAATGACAAATCCTGGCAAGAATCTTACGGACCCCAAGAATTATTTTTTCAATCTTATATCTCATCATCAATTCCTATTCTCCTTTCACTATCATTCATATTTATCTTCATTATTATACTAATCAATCCAATTATTTTATTAATCTACTTATATAGCTTAAATAGAGCATTTTACTGAAGATAAAAAGGACTACATCTTCATCATGAAATAATGACGTGATTATTCACCATTTTATCCACTACTTAAGTCGAAATTAAGCCGCTCTTACTAAGCTCCCATTTATATCTCAATAGTAGCAACTAAAGCTCATAAGAAGTTAGCAGCCCCTTAAATTAACTATTCAAGATATGAATATTTCATAACAATTGATTGCAAATCAATTTCTAACCTTATTTTACTTTTTATTTTCCACAACCCTTTACAACCCGTATCCCTTCACACAATCATCCGTTTTCCCGGTTCCCCCTGTAACCGGAAAAAAGGGGGAACCTACTCCTGATTGTGTTCCTTCTATTTCATTAACAATGAAATCGCTTAAAGCTTTTAAATTAATATCTATTTGGCAGATCAATGCACTAAGTTTAAGCCTTAGAAACAAGAATATCTATTCATTCTAATGAACCATAATAATATTCATATAATAATCCTAATAACAAAATTACAACAAATATAAAAAATACTACTACTCCTATAATATCTTTTCTAATAAATGGTACCGGTAATATTAATGAAATTTCTACATCAAAAATTAAAAATAAAATTCCAATTAAAAAAAATCGATAAGAAAAAATAAATCGAGACTCTGATTTTATATCAAATCCACATTCGTATGAAGATAAAGTTTCTATATCTATCTTTATTTTATAAGATATTAATAAAAAAACAAAATATACTATTATTAATAAAATCAAAATAATTATTACTACTATCATGTAAATAAATATTAATTTCTCTTTTTAATTGGAAATCAAACGTACTTTTATACTACATTAATTTTATTTAATCTATGCTCCTCATCAATAAACTACTGAAAATAAAAATAATCATACAACATCTACAAAATGTCAATATCAAGCTGCAGCTTCAAAACCAAAATGATGTCTTCTAGAAAAATGATTTTTTTCAACTCGTACTCAAATTACAAATAAAAATAAAGTTCCAACAATTACATGAAATCCATGAAATCCAGTAGCTATATAAAATGTTGAGCCATAAACTGAATCTCTAATTCTAAATCCTGCTATATAATATTCAAAAGTTTGTAATAATAAAAAATATAATCCTATTATTCACGTTATAAATATTGATTTCCTTACATTTCCCCATTTATTTCTTAAAATAGACTGATGAGCTCAAGTTACTCTAATCCCAGAAGATAATAATACAATTGTATTTAATAAAGGAACTTGAAAAGGATTAAAAGGATTAATCCCTTGAGGAGGTCAAGAAGCCCCTAACTCCACAGTTGGTCTTAATCTTGAATGAAAAAATGCTCAAAAAAATCTTAAAAAAAAAAAAATTTCTCTTACAATAAATAATAATATTCCTAATATTAAACCACTTAAAACTATTCTTGAATGAAATCCTTGATATGTACTTTCACGAACTACATCCCGTCACCACACTCTCGCTACAATTACTATTATAAATAATCTCAAAAATAATAATTCATGTTCACAAAATATAAATATCTTCACTATACCTATAACTACACATAATCTACCTACCCCAACCAATAAAGGTCAAGGAGAAATAGTCACTATATGATATATATGATAATACTTCATCAAACGTTAATAATATTCTAAAGCATATAATAATATTAAAATTCTAAATACAAATCCTTGAATTACTGAGACACCAAATTCCAATACTAATAATATAGATTGTAAAAACAATGATGAAGAAAACCCAAAAATTCTTAATTTTCTAATTATTGATAACAAGCCTACAATTAAATGTCCTGCTATTATATTTGCTGCTAAACGAATTGATAAAGTAAATGGGCGAATTAAATGTCTTACTCTTTCAATTAAAACTATTAAAGGAGCTAATAATAATGGTCTTCCTTCAGGAACTAAATGAGCTGCACTAATATAGAATCTTTTTTTCTTCATCCTATTAGAAAAAAAAGTAACTCAAAATACTAATCCTAAACCTATTGTAATTATAGGGTGAGCTGTAGAAGTAAAAACAAAAGGAAATAAACCAATTATATTTCTAATAACTAAATACAAAAATGTAACAACACAAATAAATACTATTCCTCGATAATTAGGACTTGAAACTTCATTAAAAATTTTATTTAATTCTCCAGAAATTATAGTCCAAACTCTATAATATCCTCTTTCAATTATATAATACTTTATTGGATAATATATATTATTACTAAAAACAAAATAATAAAATTTAAATATATTCCTAAATATGAAGTAGGATCAAATACAGAAAATAAACTTATCATCATCAACCTAATTTCTTTTTTCTAAAACCTTTCTTTACATTTAAATGTAATGATGTATTTGAATATAACATCACTTTTAATATCAAAATTATTAAAACTATTAAAATAGAATAATCTCAACTCAATGGTATTAACTGAGGAATCCCTCTTTAACTTTAGTTTGACAAACTAATATTATTTTAACTATTTTATTCATAATTAATTTAAGAGACTAACACCTTTATTCGGTCACCATATTATATTCATCCTATTAAAAATTCTAACCGAGGAACAACAGAAATCATAATAGGTATAAATCTATGATTTACTCCACAAATTTCCGAACATTGACCTACAAACAACCCCATACGATTAAATAAAAATGATAATTGATTTAATCGACCCGGAATTGCATCCGTTTTCATTCCTAAAGACGGAATTGTTCAAGAATGAATAACATCTATTCTTGATACAACTATACGTACATTAGTATTATAAGGAATAACCAAACAATTATCAACATTTAATAATCGAAATATTGGTTCATCTTCTCTTGAAACTATATATGAATCAAAACTTCTTAAACCCAAATCTCTATATTCATAAGATCAATATCATTGATGACCCACCACCTTTACAGTTAATTCCGGTGATTCAACTTCCTCTATTAAATATAATAATCGTAATGAAGGGAAAGCAATTATAAGCAAAATAATAGCCGGAAGAACTGTTCAAATTATTTCTAACTCTTGTCCTTCAAATATTTCTAAATTATAATTTTTATTTATATATGATCTTAATAAAATATAACCTACTAACACCATAATTATTACTATAATTATTATAGAATGATCATGGAAAAAAATTAATTGTTCCATTACAGGCGAAGAAGCATTTTGAAAATATAAATTTCCTCAAATTGGCAAAAATTAATCACTTATTAATCTCAATTGATTAAAAGTATGATCTAAAGGAGGTGTTCTATTTATTCATTCTAACGAAGAACTTACATGATAAATTATAAAATCAGATTGCTTTATTACTATTCCTTCCCACACAATTACTACAAAATACATAACAGCAAATACTGACAAAATTGACCCAAAAGAAGAAACTACATTCCAATATAAATAAGCATCTGGATAATCAGAATAACGTCGTGGTATTCCATTTAATCCTAAAAAATGTTGAGGAAAAAAAGTTAAATTAACTCCAATAAATATTAAATAAAACTGTAAAATCGTCTTCCTTTCTCTTAATTTTACACCAAAAAATAAAGGAAATCAATAAGTAATCCCAGCCAAAATCGCAAACACTGCTCCTATTCTTAAAACATAATGAAAATGGGCTACAACATAATATGTATCATGTAGAATAATATCTAAAGAAGAATTTGATAAAATAACCCCTGTAATTCCTCCTAAAGTAAATAAATAAACAAACCCTATACTCCACAATATAGGAGTATCTATTTTAAAATCTGATCCACTTAAAGTAGCTATTCATCTAAATACCTTTATTCCAGTAGGAACCGCAATAACTATAGTAGCAGCAGTAAAATAAGCTCGTGTATCAACATCTATCCCTACAGAAAATATGTGATGAGCTCAAACAACAAATCCTATACCTCCAATTCCTACTATAGCATAAATTATTCCTAATCTTCCAAAAGGCTCCCGCTTTCCTACAGAAGCGCTAATTACATGAGAAATAATTCCAAATCCAGGTAAAATTAAAATATACACCTCAGGATGCCCAAAAAATCAAAATAAATGTTGAAATAAAATAGGATCACCTCCTCCACAAGGATCAAAAAAAGAAGTATTAAAATTTCGATCAGTTAATAACATTGTAATTGCTCCTGCTAGAACAGGTAATGATAATAATAATAATACTGCAGTAATTAATACTGATCATACAAACAAAGGAACTTTTTCTATAATTATTCCATATGAACGCATATTAATAATTGTAGAAATAAAATTAATTGCTCCTATAATAGAAGAAGCCCCAGCTAAATGTAAAGAAAAAAAAATAGCAAAATCCACTGATCTACCTGCATGTCCTATTAATGAAGACAAAGGAGGATAAACAGTTCAACCTGTTCCTACTCCTATCTCTACTATAGAAGATATAATTAATAAAAACAATGAAGGTGGTAATAATCAAAAACTTAAATTATTTATTCGAGGAAAAGCTATATCAGGAGCCCCCAATATTAAAGGTACTAATCAGTTCCCAAATCCACCAATTATAATAGGTATAACTATAAAAAAAAATTATTACAAAAGCGTGAGCAGTAACAATTACATTATATAAATGATCATCTCCTAATAATCTTCCAGTTCGTCCTAATTCAGTACGAATAATTATTCTTATCGAAGTCCCTAACATTGCAGATCATACTCCAAAAATTAAATATAATGTTCCAATATCTTTATGATTAGTTGAATAAATTCATCGCAGTAACTTAGTTTAATCTAAAACATTAAATTGCAAATTTAATATTCTAACTTTAGAAATCATATTGATGATGAACTGTAAATTCATATTTGCTTCCACTCTTAACCTTGAAAGCTAACAGAATATTTATCTTACTATTCTATAAAATTCCTAAAATTACTCCACCCATTAAACCCAATAATACTCCTATATTTGATAAAATATCAATTTTATTATTTTTTATAAAAAAAGACTCCATTCATTTTCTCTCTATCTTAAATCCTATCACCACATCATAAACTATACGAAAATATACATAAAATATTACTACTGATAATATAATTATATATATTACTATCACTAAATCACACTCAATAAATCTCATCAAAGCTCATCATTTCAAAAAAAAACCTAATAAAGGAGGTATTCCTCCTAGATTTAATATTCCAAATACAAATAATCATTTATTTTTAATTTTATCTACGTCCATTATTCTTACAATTTCTTCCTCCAATAATATAATAACTACTCTCAATAAAATTATCGAATAAATAACCAAATAATATATTCATAATCCTATTTTCTCAATCTGACATATAATTAATCATCCAATATGGTGAATAGATGAATAAGCAAATAACCGTTTAATTCTTCTCTGAGAAAAAGATCCTACTACCCCAACAATTAATCTAATTACAATCATAACTCATAAAATTCTATTCAATACCATAACTATAATTATTAAAGGAATAATTTTTTGTAATCTCATTAACATAAAACATACCATTCAATCTACTCCGTCACAAACTGAAGGAAATCAAAAAAAAAAGGGACCTCCCCCCAATTTATATGTTAAAATTATAGATCCTAAAACAATTATAATTTCTCCCCGAAAATAAAACAAAGACATAAAAATTGCAGAACCTAAACTTTGAACAAAAAAATACTTTAAACATGACTCAATCGAAATTATACTATAACGTTTATATATTAAAACAATAAATCTAATTATATTTAATTCTAACCCAAATCAAATTAAAAATCAATCTTGACATCTCAATACAATGATAAATCTTAACACATATATAATTATAAATAAATATAAAGAAGGAATTATAATATTTTCATTTATGAGGTATGAACCCATTAGCTTTTTTAGCTGATATATATAACAGTTTAAAAAAGAATTATTCATAAATATATATTATTAATATACCTCTCATGCTCATACATATAAATATAGAAAAAAATAAACATGAGAATAAAAGGTAAAATAAATACTATAATATATATAAATATATGAGCATTATTATTAAAAACCTAAGAATAAATAAACTAAACAATATTAATAAAGAATATAAATTAAAATATATCTGTAAATGACCAAAATACTCCAAAATCAACAGCTCACCATAATTTTAAATTTTAATTTTTTTTTTTTTCGAGGCCCTTTCCTTTACCGCCTGGAAGGGCCTCGAGAAAATAGTGATTCCAAGATTTACTACAGATGGCTCTTTCGAATATTAAGTTGTAGTAAAATATTAAGAAATTCCATTCGAATATATGTTAAATACATGTTTAAATTTTTATAAAAAATACGTAATAAATAACCTAAAAATCAGTTCTATATACCCCTATAA